TCTATCTATCTATCTATCTATCTATCTATCTATCTATCTATCTATCTGTTCTGTTTTTATGTTTCTTATAATCTGGTAACACGGTCTACCTCAAAGGATATTATAAACAGATAATGATAATAATAGATAATGAGGTTCTGAAATCATAGAAATAACCATTATAAGTGGCAAACTGATAAATGTCATTCCTATCATCTTGGAGGAGGCAAATTACAGTCTCTATGATCATGTTAATGAGGATAACTAGTGAATAAGCCACTTAATCCAGCAATTTATTCAAGTACAATCCGAAGTACAAATTCAATCAAGAATGTAGTGGCATATGCAGTGTTTATGTATGCAAATCCTATCCCAGGCTATATGCTTATAGTAATGACATGGTAGAGCGGCTTTGTCGCACTGGGAACTGAAAGAGTGTGTAATTACAATAGTACTCCCCTGTCTAATGGGCCACAGGGATGGGGGACTATGCTGGTCAGTGGTAGCTCACTTACTGATGCGCACAACACATCAGCAGTCCCCACGTAGGTCCATGACTATGTGCTGGGTGTTTTGACTGTTCCTGATTACGAGATTAGTTAACAAAATAATACAGAAAAATGTCAAGGATGTGAGGAGCAAGAAAGGTCCATGTAAATCATACTAATCATACTAATCATTACTAATAAGTGGCATGGAAAATGACCAGAGCTAGAAATGTTTTTCCAAAATACCTGCTGCCTTCACCGTAGACCAAAGAGCTGACCAAGAGGAAAACTACTGAAAACTCCATCCAGGCAATATTTATACATTAAGTCAAGGCAATCTTCATATCTGCTATCTCCTTTTCAAAGTTGCAGTAGAACTTGAGTCTGTCACAGCCTTTCACAGTCATTGGGCAGTAGGTGGGATGTACTGGGGATAGGTCACCCCTAGCCATGAACACACCAAGGGTCATTTTAACGAAGTAAAGAAGAAACTAAGCAGTTTGTTTTTCCAGCCGAGACCAGGATGTTTAAATTTAAAAAATAACTTGGTCCAACCAAAATCAAGAATTTCGAAACTGAAACATTACACCCAGATAATGAAATTGAATTCCCAATCAGACCTACGTGCACAATCAACCTGCAGTGCTACTGCTACGTCTGTTGGTCAGGTAGACCTTAGTCAGATGGCGGTGCACTTTTTTGTGTTTTTCATGTAACTACATGGCTACAGGACCTGATCCCTGATGCTTCAGTGCCACCAAAGGAGCCATTCCCTTCTCCCACCTGGGGCCGGTCACACCTGGTTTCACCACTTGGTGAGTGGTGCGCATCTAACAACTTGACCCTAAACCTCACCAGGACAAAATAATGTATCCTGGACTTCCACCCTCGGAACACCCTAAACCTCCCAGCCGTGTTAAATGTGGTACCCTGCAGCCTGGTTGAGACCATGAGTACCACTTGTGGTCTAACCTCTCTCACACAAACACAGAATCAGCATCCATGATAAGCCCAACTGACCTGGCAGAAGTCGAACTCTCCAGTAGATACGAAGGCAACGCTCCTCCTTGCGGAAACCACGCTGGCACTTACAGACCATCAGAGAGGGGTATTTGGCCAACAGGGCGTCCTGTCTTTCCAGGCACTCAGATGCCTGCTCTCCCAGAGGAGAGACAGCTGCATCGGCCGCGCACAGCTCCAAGCCCCGATACAGTGCCTGGCATTCAGGGTCAGCCGAACACAGGCGATGAGCCTGTATGCAGTCAGTGGCCAACACAGGGAAGGGAAACATCGCCGCCGAGTCCGGCAACACACCTGAAAGCAAGAAAAAAAAGAGAATGAAGAGGAATCTGGAAGCAGAAATGGGAGAAAGGTGAATGTATTCTGTACGACATTATAGAAAATAGCTGTAATTCTTCAACTTCGTGACGCGTGGAGGTATCTTTATCTTAGTACAGAACAGAACAAACGGCACAAAAGCACAAAACGGGTCAACGCAACAACAACAAACACATCTCAGTATGACACAGAAGCACACAATGCATTTAACTCTCACTCAGACTTTTAATGAAGAAGATAGTGTGTTACAATTCTGTAGTTGTGTGAATCTTATTTTCATAGTCCCCTATGGAGCAACAGCCTGCTGCAGCCCTTTGATCTTGGTACCACACTAACAACTTCAAGGAGCCCAGGGAACCACTATTCAGTGCACAGATCACAAAGCCATTTCACTGTCACTAAATGGTCCACAACAACATGGCCCCTTCCTAACAGCGACTCTTTTATCCATTCACAGATGTTTCTGCTCTCTACTCTCTAAACTAACCCTAACCCATCATGGGGTCAGTGTCCTCAGCTTTGTTTGAGTGTTTTACAGCATGGAAACTGGAGTTATTTTCTGTAATCTGTTTGCGTCCTGTGGAATAGTTAGATGGAATAGTCCATAGAGAAGTGGTTTGTATTGTGCAGGTAATGAGCACTGGCGGTATCCGCGTCTCAGGACTCTCAAACTGGTTGTCAAAGGTCAGCACCGACAAGATGGTCTGTCATCAGGAATTTACCTAATTTATCCCACGAGGGAACCCAGCCAATTACCCTGAGGTAAATGGAATTAGCTGCGAAATCACACCAGTTCAAAGCGCCGCCGTAACGAGATCTTTATGTCTAATCTTATTTTTTAGTGCTGCACTCAAAGTAAGGATTGAAATCACATAATACCTGTACTTTACTGTTGAAAATACATTTTATAAACTGAAGGGGTTAATACGTTTTTTTTATTTAGACATGGAAAAATCAAATAAACTGGGAATTTAAAAAATTTGCCTGAAAGAAACAGAAATGACGTGTGCTGTATAGTCAGTGCATCAGTGATAACCATGGACAGTTTTAAAGATTCTGAATGATAGACGAAAATGTGATACTTAATTATATTAATTTATTAAAAGAACTGTATGTTTTAAGTGCCTCGTAAAAAAATGCATATCTATTTATCTTATTTGCATATGTATATATACTGTATGTATATGTGATGTATGTATATATCTATATATATATATATAAAACACGCAATAGTTTTGACCTCGAAGCAGGTCAAAACATTCTCACGTTTTGGGAACTAGGAAGACAGGTCTCTTCCTCTCATCTTTGACTGAGAAACATCCTGTTTCCACTCCCTTGTCAACACTTCACATCTCCTCTGTTTTATTCCCTGTTTGTAGCAAACTACAGTCAACGGCTTCAGCAACAACTTCAACAACTTCCTGAGAGATGTTTCTTGAGTCTTCATTTCTGTTTTATTGATACTTTTTGTAATGTCTAAAACTCAAAGTCTCTCCAAGAGCAGTTGTTGTATTTAGTTCTGTTTTTTTTTTTCCAGAGAAGTTGCTTCGATTAGCAAAGCTGATGTGTGCAAGGGAAGTTTAGAGAAGTTGTCTGAGGACGGCACAAATGTCATTTTGAGAGGGGAAAATAGGAACCAGAAAGACAGATGGGGAAAGGGAGAGCTGGGAGTGCAGGGAGAGCGAAAGAAAGAAAGAAAGAAAGAAAGGCGGGGACGGAAAGCTGGAGCACCAGTGTGAACCTTGATAGGTTGGACGAGCGCACAGTGTGAAGCACAATCAGCATGCAGCACCGAAAATGATGTTCTTAGAATCCCACAAAGATGTGCACGTATGCACACACAAGCGCAAGAAAAACACTGTCATCACACACACACACATTGTTACCCCAAGAAGGACCTTTTTATGTGTGTGTCCTGCTGGGAGGGAGACTGGGAAGCACAGAACCCATCATTATTACCAGAACACAATACTGCACAACCACAGAGGAGGGGGCAGTGGGGGCAGAGTAATCTCTCCAATACAAACCCACACACACACTTGCACACACACACACACACACACACCTCGGTGTCAGAATAAAGTGGCTGAGAGAGCATAAACAGCTTAACATTCAGTGCCGGATCAGTAGACAGTATGTAAATTGAATACTGAGTGTGCCGATGAAAGACTAACCACATACATAAAACATTGTAGGTCGAACAAACAGCCTTTGTGCGGCACTGCATCCTGACACTCTGCCACAACTCACTTTGCGGGGACATAGTGCCCAGCCAGTGACTCTGACCGGAGGATCCTGCCAGAATTACATCATCAGGCTTCTACAAAACAGTCCCTAATTTCTACTGGTGCTGGAATAGAAGCCCAGTATTCTCCGTCGTGTTTTCTTCAGGTTGTGCACTCAGTTCTGAGAGTAAACACAACAGCCAGGAAACAGAGCACCGAATCATTTCTAGCTTTTCCAGGCACAAGGAATCCGATAGATTGTTTCATTGTTGCAGATGTATGAACACGTCGGTGAACTGTGTGACACACTACACAAAGAAAAAATTCTTCGTCTTCACAAAGTACAGAAAACTTCTTGATGGGTAACTTTGGGTTCCTCCTTTTGGTTTAATTTCCTGGCCTTGTCATAAGGCAGAAGGGGAAATTGAATGTGAGAACATCACTGGCGTCTGATTTTTGTTTTACTTTGAAAACCGTGTAGTTCAAATTCCTTGTCTTGATTCCCCGCGTTTCCTCGAAAGAGTTATTATCCTTTTGTATTTTCAGAGTCTTTTTGTCCTCTATAGAGTGAGTCGTATTTTGTACTTTCTTAGCCTTTTTCCTGGCCCCGCAAGAACGACTATTGTTTATTACTTTCCTCATTTGAGAGATTATTATTTTATTGCCTGGCAATTCCACTCCAATAGAGTGTGACCTTTTGTTTAATAAAGTCCTCGCTTCTGCCAAGCTCTGCATCTGAGTCTTGTCTTGAGCCCCTCCTGACAAGAAGGACCTTAAAGTTTCTCCTCAAAAGAGCTCTCTCTGTCTATTCACGGGGGATGGATCAGGTTTTCAGCACACTGGGAAACCTTACTGATTCTATATCACAACCCAGAAAAATTCCTGTTTTAGTAACTACTCTTTTCTAAACACCCTTACTGAGCGTTGTCAGGGTCCGTTCAAGTGAGTCTGATGACCACAAAATGAGAAGTTTAGGCTATGGATCATTCTTGGAGCTTCATCTGCTAGGCACCCAGACGAAAACCATTGGAAACCATTGGAAAGGCAATGGGTCACTTCCATCCAGTGGCACTATCAAAAAGTTCTGAAAAACTGTTACATTTGGTACTTCTATTATCATTTTCTTAGATTTTTCAAATATGATAAATCCACATGACCGCTTAAGAATCACTAAAGCTTAAGTTTAAACTTAAAGAAGTTAACCTACGTAATTCCAACAAAGCAGCAATCGGAAACCTCCCAAAAATAAGAATGTGTTGTGGGAAGACGCCCCCGGAAAACAGCAGAAAAGCTGCATGAGGGTTAAACTGGAACAGGATGGGTTACTGTTAAAGAGGTTTCACTTGAAATCAGCTAATTCTGGGAACAAACATCTAACAGAGAACCAAAAGATGCATGAAGCTGAGACTTGCTACCAAGGGCTTACCACCTAAACATCACAGTGAATCTGCAAAAAGTTACAAATTTAGTCGGGATTACAACTACCTCCTTATTTTTATCATAGGGACTGATGAAGGAATTCATGACAACAGTACCCAGCAATCATCCTGTGGTAAAATAGAGAGATATTACAACTGAAAACGTTGCTCATGGCAGGCGGCAGCTTAGGCAGCAGCTTGGTCTAAAGTCCTAATTCACTTCAGCATCAGTAAATCATTAACGCAATAATGGTGAACGCTGGTGATAGAATTACCATGAAAACACTGAAACAGCTGTTCCTGGCCTTCACAGGCGGCGGCCACGGGCTAGGATCAAACATGGAGGCTTTCTGATTAGTTTAGAGTACTGAGGATGAGTGCAGTTAATCCACAAATAGATCCCACTTCTCTTGTTCGAGTGTGTTCTCCCCACTATGCCTGTACACGTCTTAAACAATATATTTGCTGCAAATGTATAGTCATATTACAAAAGCAATCGTCTTTTTATCATCAGGTAATCTTCTGGTCCTAACATGAAGTAAAAGCAACCCCCTTTTGAGGTCAGGCTGCCCCGGTTCTTTTGTTTTTCAGGCATTCTGTTGGAGCTTGGCCACGTTGCTGTGTTTGAAATCATTGTCCTGTTGCTGAACCAGTTTCAGACAAGTTTTAGTTTGGGGACAGATGGCCTCACATTATACCCTGAGCATTTTAACATTATAGAAATTGTCCAGCAGAAACATGAATGCGTTTATAGACTGCAATATTATTTGTCTAATGAAGACTAATAATGAAAACTGAAAGCACATAGCAGCACGGTGGTGTGGTGGTCAGGACCATCTCCTCACAGACAGAAGGTCCTGGGTTCGAGTCCCCGTTTGGAGTATGCATGTTCTCCCTGCGTCTGTGTGGGTTCTCTGGTCCTGTGATGGACTGGTCAACTGTCCAGGGTGACCCCGCCTCTCGCTCGTCGACTACTTGGATAGGCTCCAGTCCCAACGTGACCCCATTAGGGAACAAGTGGTAACGATAATGGATGGATGGATGAAAGCGCACCTGAACACGCCCTGCATAATTTGGGTGGGAATTGTTGGGTTTCTGTAAATAACTTCAGAGTACGGTCTAAACTTGCTCTTTATGAAAAGTGCTGTGAGATAACTGCTGTTGTGATATGGCGCTATATAAATAAAATTGACTTAAATTGAAACTGAATTCAATTTCATGTGTTTGAAGTGTGTTTGATGGTGGTTTGATTTTTTATGATCGAAAAAAAATACTGGTGAGTATGACGTAAATATGGCTGACGTACAGCTGCAATATGCCATCCCTGGCTTCCAGCTCCCAGGAACACTTTCCAGTAGCTAAAAGGCACAAGGTATAGAGCTGCTGCACATGTGGTGGAACAGGGCTGGACCTCTGTGTCACTGACTGCAAACTACCTCAAAGTCCATGAGAACTGCGTTTGGGAGCCTAAAGAGTCCAAATAGGTATTGATCCCTCTCAGTAAATAAACTGTATGTTCATGACATATTCATTCCCTCCATAGGGTACCATTAACTAATGTACATTACCCTGTTAGTGCATTTAATTAGTTTTCAATAAGAAGTCAATTTACAAGATAGAAAATTACCAACATTTGTTTCAAATAATCTGAGAAAATGTGGATTAAAAACTGCTCAGCAGAAGACAACTGAGATGCTTTTTTTGCCAACTGTACTGTAACCAATAAAGACCTTTAACCTATAAAGTTCTCACCGATTCCCGTATAGTCTGATGTGCTCTGTTAGATGAAGTTTCTCAGAAACGCACTTTCACTCCTCTGATCAATTTGAAATCGGGATTAAACCCATTAAATCTGAATTAGACTCTGAAGCCTCTCCCAGCTGTCACTGGGTAAGAGGTGGGGTGAAAACTGAACCGGTTGCCAGTCCATCACACTGACAAATGAGACAGACCAAACCAGCCACACTAAGTCCCCCAATTTTTCTAATGGAAAATAAATCAACATGATCATTTAAACTAGTCATTCAAACTGGTGGTTTTGTCTCTGTGCCACTAAAAGCCTGCTGTCCAATGTCTGCTCCCTGCTAAATCCATCATTAGTTTGTACAGAAGTCGGCGTGTTACCTGGGAAAAAGGAAGTTACAGAGCCTTTACAGTTTAGCTTCCACCATCCCCTCGCTACGGTGGCCAGGAGGTGCAAACCAACATTACAAATTTAGAAACCCTTTTTCAAAGTTTTAAACAAATAATCAGAGAAAGTATTTCAAAATATAATATTACATGAATATATTAAAGATAGCACAGAAATATGAACTCTTAACAGATTTCATATTCCAAATTCTAATTCATGTTTGACCTCATTACTAAATGTAGAAAATAGTGTTTTTTTATGAGTGTCTTTACATTTGAGGATATACCGTTTGGCCAAATATATAACAAGATAATGGTAATTTATTTTTATTCTTTTCAGAGATGGATAGTGAGTGAAACCAAACAATATTTGTTCAGAGCAAAAGGGCATTTTTGGTTCAATACAACTACAAAGGATGTTTCAAATATCTTCCATTTATTTGATGGAAAACAGGAAGACCAAAATAAACGCATCTTCAGGGTTTCCTTCAACAAAGAGAATAAATATCTATATCTTTTTATCTTATCTCATCTTAAGCCATTCGAAAAGTTCTGACTGAGTTCCAAATTGCTCCGTGAAGTTTCTTCTCTTTTAATGTGTCTATTTGTATACAGATATATTTTGGTTTGAAAAAATCTGTTGAAAATAAGATTGAAGTGTTGAGATTTAGAAATAAAGGAAATCTAGATATCTAATTGCCATGGGAACTTAATTGGGGATTTTAATAGCCTGGTGTAGGATCTCCTTATGGAAGATATGTGCAGGTTCATTTAAAAGATTCTTTGTAGTCACTTTTCTTAGTTCTAAGTTATATATTTTTTGAGTATATAGTAAGTATATATATAAATAAACAAGCAAACTAATGCTTCTTCACTCAGATGACAAACCCACTGACAGGGAAGCAGCAGCCAACAAACCATCTGCCTTCCCTGTGTTTGAGTTCCAAATCCCAGTTATCAACACACCACACAGAGGACCTCCAGACTCCCCCCTTGAATGCACCACTCCCTTTGAGACCAGCACAAACTCACACACGCACACACACACACACCTCTCCCGGATCAGATGAAGGCGGGCGGATGGAGGCCAGGTAAGTAGCTCGCTTTCCATTAAATGCAACAGAAGAAGGAAGATGGATTTCCTCAAGTTCATTCACCTCGCACACCTCTAATCCTCTTCATCCCCTCTCTGCCCTCCCTCCCTCTCCTCCCTCACTTGGTGGACTGAGTTGGTCATTTCTGCTTCCCACTCCAAACGGCTTTTTTTTTTTCTCCACACTTATCATCAAAGCAGTTTTATGATGCTTATTTCCCACACGTCACCATACGTCACCGAACATCAATAGAGATGAGACATGTTCCCTCTTTCTCAATCTCCCTCTTTATTTACCGGGAGGGCCTCATATAGTCACGTCTTGTCTTACTTGCAAACAAAAACAGAGAAAAAGCAAAGGAAGACTCACCGTGAGGGGTCTGACTTATTAGCATAAACCCAAATGGGCAGTCAGTGTATGTATATATATCATCAAACTTCTCTAATATATCAGGACATTTGAATTAACTTTCAAACAAATGTATCTTAAATTGACCCTAACGATTCAATAAAAACATTGTTATTATGTTTTGTTTTTTTTTCTTAATGTATTCAAAGCAAATCCACCATCTCAGTTGAAGGCTAACACCAGCCGTTTGAACTATCATTCCCATTCACTAATCTGCACGTTTTTTTTTTTCCTCTCGCTAAAAGACTCATTCAAATATGTAACAGATATTTCATTTATGTATTTTCTGACATTTTCCATGCAGTTGGAGAATCGCTTCAAAACCGGTACGGGGTAGGTTCAAACGTCTCCGAAATCTTTCAATGCAAACAAACAGATTAACTTCCAAAAGAATCAGTATCGGGAAAGCTCTCACAGGTAGTGTCGACAATAAAGGGAACGCAACGCACTCTCCAGCCCCCCCGAAGTACACACAGACACGCACACCTGTCTCTGCAATGATAAGACGTCAGCCGCCGCCGCCGCATCAAATGTGTTTGCACACCGGAGTCGGTTGGCTGCACTTCCTCATTGAACGACTTTAACAATTTATTCCGACGCACAGCTGAATCCGACAGGGAATTTAGATTGATACGAGGGGGAGAAAGAAAAAAAAAAAGCAGAAATTCAGACACAACCTAAAAGCCTCGAGGGAGAAAAAGAAAGAAGAGGAGAGGCCGGGCGGATGAGCCAGAGGGGAGAGAGGGGGGGGGGAGATATATGAGCTTGTCACTTAACATTACAGCTTCACTACAGGCTGGACAATCATTAACGCTGCTAACGGGCCGCTGCGCTACCCACCGGGCTAATCTGCAAAGACACCGATTTCATTAGTCCTGCTGGAGCTTTTATAAAAAGAAACACAAAGGATTGTCAATCCTAGTGCTTGGAGGAGATTGAAGTAGCCTAACAAAATGTTTAAAAAAACAGATAAAAGCTGAACATCCACCTCTGTGTCGTCTCTGTTTACTCCCAGAGTTCAAATGTCTGGTAATAAAAAATCGGCCTCTGGTCATTCTTGGAGAGCAAAGCTGTCGTGGAAAGGTTCAGAAGACGTTCCTGCGCCCGCCGCAGCACTCCTGTCATCTCGGGGGAAAAAAAAGGAAAGAACAATGGAAACCGATGAAGGCCTAATCTGTGAGAAACCACAAAGAAACCCACGCCTACATGTGGAGCTACAGAAGAGATACGGATGCTGGCAGCTCATTGGACAACGCTCAAATAATAATTAAAATCTTACAAAAAGAGGGACGCGACAATATTTACAGGGACACAATAATGCAAAACCTTCTGTTTAAATTCCGCATTTAACTTCATAATGGATATAATTTCCCTTGGAACTGGTCATATTTCTGGATACAGATTTACATATTAAGATGGTCTATAATGAGATCCAAAGGAGGGGTCAGGTGAGCTCAGCCTCTGAAACAGCTCTGTCCTCATGTAAACAATAATCAATAAGACAGAAATTTACCGATAAAAAAGGATTTTTAATTCAAAATGTAAAGGATAATTCGGTTATTACTTTGACACTCACTTGAAAATATTGTATATATTGCTCTCATTGAACCGTAGGCCAATTTCCACAAGACCTGAATTCTGAGAACAAAAAGGGTCTGGAATACTGATCCTTTGTTCCGCTTGATGATTCAGAGACAGGTATTCACGATGAGTTTGGAGGAAACACTGTGCTCAGCTCTCTGAGCTCCACAACAGATGCGGTTTAATGCTCTGCAACCGTCTGGAAACTTCCGGCTACACGACGTCCGTGGAGGCTGTTTCAAAGAACCGAATTTTTTTTGAAAGGCCCGTTTTTTTCTTTTTTTTTTTTTTTTTACAAAACTTAAAGCAAAGAGAGAATGCACCATTGCACTCATGGAGGTGAACTCCAGGGCTTCCTTTATTTTAATCAGCTCCTGATGAAGTGGCCATTCCGAAGCCGGAAAAACTGATGAGACGGATGAGAATTCAACCATTTTTGGAGTTGCTCTTTAGGTAGGCCGAGGCCCAAAGGTCACAGGAAAAAGATGAAAGCTTCATCTCCAAAAATATATCCGATGCTACTGAGTGCAATATGTTTTTTTAGATTTAAAAAAAGCTATTTAAAGCTGTATTGTGACGTCTTTTCACGGAGCTGTCCTGATTTGGAATTGTGCATACTGTGAAAATGGCCTCTTAATTACAGTAATAACTCTCTTCATCTTCACATCTCTGAGGCAGAATCTCTAACTTTAGACGGGTTAATAACTCAATATTTTTTAAGGCAAAAGGACACGTGTAGACACTATTTCATTTCCGTAGCACCTCAGAGAGGATCATTTCAGGGATGAGTCCTGAGCCTCCATTCTTTTTTTCTCATTTTTCGACCGATTCCACGACAGGAAAACGTGTTGATTTGGTTTATTTACTGACTTTTTGTTGCCATTTTCTGCATCAAATATTGCCAAATGAAAGAACTCGCAATACAGCAAATGAAAAACTAAGTTAAAGGATCACATTAAAGGAGTCTCATCACAGAGAGGCGACTGGTGTTTGCCTGTTGCCCACACTGTCCGCACAGCCTGGGCTTTAGTCCGGGTTTACTCTGGTTCCGTGGCGGTAAAGTTTTCAGCTCAGCTGGCTGGGCGTAGCCTGGCAAACCTACCCAGACACGAATGAAGTGTCGGGGATGACCCTCCTGGTCTGAGATGATCACCAAGGACGGATACAGCCTTAAACCCGGATCCACTGAATCCAGAGGTGAAAGACGCAAGAGAATAAAACACTGGAATAAAACCTTTCCCCCCCCAAAAAAAAGGGTTTGAATGGAGACTTAAAGAAACTCAGAACACCTGACAAACAGACCAGAGGTGAGACGCCTGGTTGAGCCTGACTTTTCCCTCTGGAACATCACTGCCGTTTAAGTTTTGGGGCGGAGGACCGTCGCGCCAAAGACTGACCCCAAAAATCCCCGTGACCGTCACAGCGCGCGCGCGCGTGTCACCGTGCAAGGCAGAAGAAGAAAAAAAAAATCTCCTACCTGGAAAGAGGAGAACGAGCACGATCCTGGCGAGCAGCATGTTTGCCGTGATCGGGATGGCTCCAGCCGCCCCGCCGTGCGCCCCGGTGGAAGACGCGCAGCCAGCCGCCGCGCGCGCGCCCAAACCGCCTCTGCCAGCGCCCACGGGGGTCGTGCGAGTTCCCAATCCCAGAGATGGAAGGTGTGGGGGGGGAAAAAACACCAAAAAAAAAGAGATTCCTCGAGCGATCGTGGGGCGAATTGCGCACCGGGGGAGCGCAGGGAGACTCCTGCGTGCGCGCGTGCGTCTCAGAGCTGCTGCTCGGTGATGCCTATTTTGATGGGGGGGGGGAATGTGAGTCGTCACGGGCTGCGGCGGCTCTGCGCGCGGACCTTCGGCTCTCCGGGCTCGTGAGGGGTCCGGGTAAATGGTGTGATCATGATGCTGAAGGGCACGAGAGGCAGGGTTATTAACTTGTGACATCCCTCCTCTCTTCTTCTCCTCCTCCTCCTCCTCCTCCTCCTCCTCCCCTTAGATCTTAATGATCTTAACCTTTAGTGACCCGTCAGATGAAAATAGTCCTTTATTGGGTTTATTCAGGGAGAATCCAATTGTACGTTGCTTTTTTTGCATTAATTCATATATTTACTCCAAGAGTGTCCAGGGTGATCGCAAAGAAGAGTACTGTCATTAATTATTGATATTTGTTTTTAACAAAAGACTTCATCAGACCAACACTATGCCACAAAGCTCAAAGGCAACCGAAGTGTCTGAAGCTCACAGTAAGGCACAGACGGCTCTGTTCGTCGAGCATAAACATTGGAGAAAAACACATTCCTAAAGCAGGGCGTAGGGAGGATGCTCAAGCTATGGACAAACTATGGAGACGTCCTGGGCGAGGACAAAAAAGGAGATGATGGGGACAAGGTAGACCCTCGATGTACATCTGGAGGGAGACAGCCTGAAGGTGGGCCTAAAAAGGAAAAGGTTTTTGATATGGATAGACCCATATTCGGGCAGCGCGCCTTACGTAAGGCAAAGAGTAAACCAGATATAAGGGCAGACACACCCAGAGTGGGACAGAGTTTTCTCTGAGACATCTCCGGACTTGATGCATCAATCTGTACTTCTGACTCGGACCTGGCTGACAATAAACTCCTCTTTGTTCGACCAAGTTCTGCCTCAGCAGAGTTTCTCCTGCAGCGCCTCCACTTGAGCTTTTTGAAGACGACCATCCCATAATTCGCCACAAACTTGGCGTCACGAGCTGAGAAGTTTTTGCTCTGCGAGTCAGCTTTCGCCTGCCCGTCCAGCGGGGCCTACGGTCTCTGAGGGTGAGTTTTTCATCTATTCATGAGAGCGATGGGCCAGGCTGGATTGGTTGGGTGGATTCTGCTTTGCAGTTGGACATGCTGAAATTATCTGTGCGGGAGGTCGTCCGCCAAGTGAGGTGCTTCAGCAGCTCTGTCTAAATTACTCCGTAGTGTTTATAAGCAGCTGCCAAAGGGGGTGCTGTGTCGGTAAATAGAACTGCAGTTGTTGTTGTTGAGTATAAGTTTAAGAGTTTGAAGTGACGCAGAGAGGCGCACTGGTTTAAGAGTTTTGCGATGCAGACGTGCACACCGAGTAGTGAAGTAACGGG